ATATATAAACTATATATACTTACAAAAGTTATTTGGGATTCTAAATTTTAACAGTCTCAGACAACTAGCTCTTTTTGACTGATACTGTGGGCTTTTTTTCCCCTATCAGTATCAAACCAACAGCTGTCAGCTCTTGCCTCCCTTCTCTAACAGTTACTTGTCTTGGCTGTAAATTCTTCGGGAGAAAAATGTTATTTTTCATTGCTTGGCTTAGTAGGTCCTTGATTTTGTATGGCTGCCAGATGCGGTAGTGTCATAAATACAATGATTTCTTCCCTCAATCCATGACTGCTAATTGTTTTCAATTCAGTCTTTTTTTTTTTTTTCTAGTGTTGTGCTAAAGAATTTGTAGAGTCACTCAGTTTTACAATACTGGCCCTTTGGAAAAAATAGACTAGTGAAAGGCACTTAATTTTGAGCGAATGTGAGATCTGTGTTCTAGGACTGAAATACAAAATAGCAATGATAAGTGTTTCATGGTGAGCACAGTGTAGGGTTTTGCCAAAAGAATTGCTACTTCTATAACTTTTAAAGCATCTTTAAAAATTTTCCAAGGAATTTCCTAAGTTACATGTGAAGTCCCCTACACAACCCCAAACCTATCAACATATGGCTTTTGGTGCTGTGTCCTGTAAGACAATCCAAACTCTTCTCTTGATGTCAGTCATGTTGCCATCTGGCAGGAATTGGTTGCAGCTCCCTTCCTCTTGTTGCCTTTGCACTTCTGCCGGTTCACCAATTTCTTCAAGACATTTTTGCCTCTACCTGTTACTGGAGCCTCCTTTCCGTCCTTTCCTTCCTTTGTTCCAAGTTATTGGCACTATAGATCCACAAAAAAACCAAAACAAAACCATTTGCTCTTAACATAAGACTCTGATTAATGATCATTGACTAACGGTAGTTAACATTTAAGCATTTGTGCATGGTCTTTTTTTACAAGTCATGGCACAAGCTAGGCAGTGCAGTTTTCCTTGGCTTGTCCAAAACCCTATTACACTCAGATGGGATATGTCATCTGCCTGAGGTTAAGAGTATGTACCTGCCTGAGGTTAAGAGTATGTACCTAAGCAGTGAGCAGAGCTCAGCTGACATGCAGTACCTTGCCAAGCACGAGTATCACAGAATCACAGAATGGTAGGGGTTGGAAGGAACCTCTGGAGATCATCTAGTCCAACCCCCCTGCTAAAGCAGGATCACCTAGGGCAGGTTGCACAGGATCACGTCCAGGTGGATATCTCCAGAGAAGGAGACTCCACAACCTCCCTGGGCAGCCTGTGCCAGTGCTTGGTCACCCTCAGAGTGAAGAGGTTTTTCCTCACGTTCAAATGGAACTTCCTGTGTTCCAGTTTGTGCCTGTTGCCCCTTGTCCTGTCACTGAGCATCATTGAAAAGAGTCTGGACTCATCCTCTTGACATCTGCCCTTGAGATATTTATAAGCATTAATAAGATCCCCTCTCAGTCTTCTCTTCTGCAGGCTAAAGAGACTCAGTTTCCTCATACAAGAGATGCTCCAGTCCCTTTGTCATCTTTGTAGCCCTCTGCTGGACTCTCTCCAGTAGTTCCCTGTCTTTCTTGAACTGGGGAGCCCAGAACTGGACACAGAACTCCAGATGTGGCCTCACCAGGGCAGAGTAGAGGGGGAGGATAACCTCCCTCGACCTGCTGGCCGTGCTTTTAATGCACCCCAGGATACCATTGGCCTTCTTGGCCATGAGGGCACACTGCTGGCTCATGGATAACTTCTTGTCCACCAGGTCTCACAGGTCCTTCTCTGCAGTGCTGCTTCCCAGCAGGTCAACCCCTAACCTGTACTGGTGCCTGGGGTTATTCCTTCCTAGGTGCAGGACCGCACACTTGTGGAGTGATTTTTGTGGAGTCTCCCTGCTTAGAGATATTCAAAAGCCTCCAGGCACAGTCTTGGATAACTGGGCCCTGCTTGAGCGGGGGGGGTTGAACAAAAAGGCCTCCAGAAGTCTTTCCAGCCTCAACCATTCTGTGGTTCTGTGTCTGTGCCCTTAGCCCCAGTTTGGCTGAAATATTTATATAATTGTACACAGTAAGGCTAAAACAAACTGTTGTTAATGTTGTACTGACAATCTAAATGGTAACACTCTCACTTTGTAGGAATTTCTCTTTTATAAGCCTGTTCTACAGTCATGTCTACTTGTGGTTTTTTCCCCACCTTGTTTATGACTTGCACGTAGTTAAACATATGTATGCTTTGACTGGTTCAATTAGTCTGTATTGCAGTTGCATCTATAAATGAGGCCCCATTTTTTGGAGGAGGGACATAGAAGAGCAAGAGTGATTCCTACAAGCAAACTACTGCTTGTTTTTTTTTTTTTTACTCTGTTTCTGTCAGTTGTGTTCTTAGAGAGTGATTTTTATATGTATCGTTATGTATTTTCTTTCAGTACATCAAGAAGTTTTACAATGAAACTTGGCAAAGAAGATACGGCTTCTCAGTGGATGAAAGCACACTGACTCTCCTCTGGTCTATAACTGTCTCTATTTTTGCCATTGGTGGCCTTGTGGGTGCCATTATTGTTACACCAATTGTGAAGTTCTTTGGACGGTAAGTGTATTGGAAAACTTCTAGTTTCTAAAGCAGTTTCTCACTTGGTCTCTCTAGAAGGCTTTATTTCCCCCTCTTCATCAGAATGCAAATTTAAACATCTTCAAATTATGAAAGCTCTTTTCTAAGAGTTCTGAATGTCCAAGAGTAAAATTAGTGCCTTTGTCCCTGGCCTTACTGTGCATCATCTGAGTCACAGAAGCCATTTGCTCTGAATGCGCAGTGAGTTGAGATGTCAAGGAGGTTGAATTGTCAAGAGTGCAACAGGAAAATACCATAAAATAGGAAAGATTTCACAAAGGATTGGCAATTTCTTGTTTCACGAGTCTGTTGAGTATCTTACTGTACACAAATAAAGCTATCAACACATCTCATTTGCTTCTCAACAACATTTGTTGTCATACAGTAATAAAAATTTGCTGGTTTTTTTTTTTTTCTTCCTTGTGTCAAATTAAAATACAGTTTGAAGAACTAAACTGGCGTGAAGCTTGTGTTTGGTCTTTCCCAAGCTTCGGGATGCCTTCCCAGCTCTATGCAATGCAGTGTTTGACCAAGTCTTGACCATGGGGAATAGGAGTATTTTAGGAATGTTTGTGCTGGTGTGTGTTTGTATTTTTGCTTCAGGTATTAACTAGGTATTTATGTCCAATTCTTGTTTCATACAGTCTTCCAAAGATAATTTTAAAAGTAATATAGGTAAATTACAAATTTAGAAGGACATGAAAAAAAAAAAGCTGTAGTAGCATTCATCTTAACAGCTTGTTTGGCTTTTCTTTAATTGTAAATTCTATATTTTTTGGTAATTTTTGCTTAGTTAAGCCACTGGAAAAAGGTCTTCATGGACGCTTAAATGTAAGCATCCACCTCCACTGTTCTTACTTTCCTGTTCTGCATTTTGACTATTTCCAACACTTTAGATTGTACTCTTCTAGGCCTGTTTGTCATTTTCCCAACTCTTCTACATCCCATTTTTCACCTAAAAGAGTATGTTTTCAGGTTCTTCCATTTCATGCTTACAGCGTCAGTATTCTCTGCTCTGCAAATCTATTATCCATTCTTCATAATTTATTCTGTCCTTTCACCATTTGATTTTCAATTCTTAAATATTTTTCATAGTCACATTATTTTTTGAAGGTTTGCAATTTCTTCTGCCAAATCATTAATTTTGCTTTTACACACTTCTTAAATGTATGAAACTATGCCTGACTCAGACTGATTAATTACCAGAATTGTCACTGAGTCTTCTTTACTTGATTAAAAAGTGAAGTAAAAAATGGGTTCATAGAAGGCTTGAACTTTTGGTGAAGAGTGGAACAGCTTTGCGTGCAGGTTTGTTAAAGTGGTGGCTGGTCTGAGTCATATGAATACCACTTCGATGGGAGCAGATCTTATTTCCAGGGCAGAGATTTAAATCTTGCAGACTCTGCCCTATTATGTTTATCCCTGTTAAACCATGAAAACAGCTCTCTTATGATGTATGAGTACTTGATAAGAGCAGGGAAGGGATTGCGTCTCTCAGGGACGCTGGATAAAGGCTGCTCATCAAAGCGTGGTTCTTGAGTTTACTGTTCACACTGCAGAGTGTTTGTCTGGTCTAGGAAACCAGACTGACATATCAGTATGGTAATTGAGGAGCACATTATGAAATGTTGACAGAACAATAAAATACTTCGCTGTTAAATTGTTAAGTGTAGGTTGGAAGGTTGTATGTATGATGAAGCTGAGCTCCATTTACATTGACATGGTATAATGAACTAAGGGGCCCCAAAAGCATTAGTCAGAAATAATGTATGACTTTAAAAAGAGCATCTTGAATCATATTGCTGTAAGGTTAATAACATAATTTCCAAATTACCAGATTCCTAGGCCATATTTACTTCAAAAGAGATGTAGAGCAATTTTTTCAGAGAGCATCTTCGTCTGCATAAGCAGAAGCCCTGCGTTCAAGTGTGGCTTTGACACTTCATAATTTAAATTCTCCTCTTCTACCAAAGAGCAGCTGCTGTTGTGTATCCTGAACACCAGAGCGATATGCCCCATGGATTGCTTAGGCCACTGCTAGGGAGGCATTGGCAGGAGGGGGACAAGGCCTTCCCTCAGGCATAGTGAACTGCTTTGAGTATGGAGCAATTAAAGGAATTTATCTGAATTTTCTTAGTAATGCTACCACTTCTTTTATTCTGAAGTCATCTAGTATAGTTGAAATGGTGGTCCAGTATTCAACCTGTTACTGGCTTTGCAGCTTGTTATTTAAACACCTAGTTTCCTTAACATACTTTTTCTATAAGTGTCATATTTGCTCCCATGTGGAGCTTCTTTCTTATTACTGAATTTTGAGACAATACATTTTTTTGAGGAAACTTTAATTCTGTCATTTTTCTAGTTGCGAGTTTCAGACAAAAAGTTTATTAATTCAAATCCTTAATTAAAGTTACTGCAGCCGTGGAGTGCAGTAGCTACAGCACAACCATGTGGGGCTCTGGACTGGAACCTGAGTCGAGTTTCCCTTTCCCAGATCTGGCACTGGTTTGCACATTAGCTTTAGGTTGAGTCCACTTTGCTGTCTATTCCTCTGTGTACCCCGTTACAAAAACAGAGATATTGGTGTGCTCTATGACCTTCAGCAAGACCGAAAACTGAAATGTGCTATATGTGAGAACTAGGTATGATGTATATACTTCAGCAGGTTTCATGTACCATTTGGACAGTTACTCGATTGGTTTGTGTTTTGGGATGTGAGAGAAATAATTAGGCTGACCAAGAGATCAGTGTCTGTCTTGTGATGGCTTCGTTTTGCAGTTTGCATGCTTACACTTTGTAAGTGTGGTGAGCACAGTTATCTGACAAGATTGGTTGGACTTTCCCAAGGGAAAATGTCTGCTACGGTGCTTTAAGAAGTGTGATATCTTTATATCACTTATATTAAAGCTATAGAAGCAGTGGTTTGTTGGGGATTTTTGACTTGTTTCTTTTTGCTATGCCTTGTTTCTAAGGTAATATCGTTTTGCTCTATGTGACCAGGAAAGTGTGGCTTTTTAATGCTTGTAGCAAATTTGAATATAACATGACCTGAATGGATCTAAAGTGACACAGTATGGGCAGTTTGGAGGGTTTTGCTGTATTTTTTTCTAGGAGCTATGATGAGAAGTTGTTCCTACTGTTTGTGATGAGTTGGCCCCAGCTGGCAGCCAAACACCCACCCAGCTACTCGTCACTCCCCACCCCCCAAGTGGGATGGGGAGAAAGAGGAGGAACAGGAGTGAGAAAACTCATGGGTCAAACTAAAGAAAGGGAAAACACTTACCAATTACTGTCATGAGCAAAACAGACTCGGCTTGGGGAATTTAACTAAATTTATTACCAGTTAGCATAAATATTTAATTACGGATCAGGTATAGGGAAACAAGACCAACATTAGGGTACCTTTCCTCTCACTTTCCCTGGCTGACCATCACTCCAACCTCCTCTCCTCCCCCTTGGTACCACAGCAGGTCACACTCAATCCCTTCAGTGAGAGAAAGGGCAGTACAGGGGGTCGGTGTCAATGTGTAGCAGCTTCTCCCTGCCACTCCTTGCTTCTCACTCTTCTGTGCTCCAGCGTGGGTCCTCCATGGGCCACAGTCCCTCTGGGGATGTACCTGCTCAGGAGTCATGGAGTAGTCATGGAGTACCTTCTCCTTCAATTACCTTGTTACTACCTCATTCCATCTCCCCACAGAAGCCACCCCTGCAGCCCCTTTGCTTCCAAAACTTTGCCAGACACTCAGCCCAGTGTTTTCATTACCAAAAATTTACATGCTTTATGTAGTAACACTCTAAACAGTGTGTTACTTTCTTGTTTTTGTTTTGTTGTCCATCTGGCAAAGACAAAATCCTTTGTTTTTATCTTGGTAAGTTAGGCTGTGCTTTTCTGTTCTTTACTGCATGGCATAAGGGTTTGCTGACCAACTTTTTCTGAAAAGATACATATTTTGTAGGTTTTATTTAAATTAAAGAAGAAGAAAGTAATATCTTCAGATGAATGTATAGCACTTGTTTGACCTGAATAGGCATTTTGTTTCCATTTTTGGCATTATTTATATCCCTTCAGCCCTCTCAAATTATATCCATTTGAAAAATCTGTTTCAAATGATAAAACCATCACTCTTGACAGCTATGTTCTATAAACATATACTTTAAATGAGCTGTATCTCATTTTTTGATCTTCAAACCATGTTATTCGATGTTCAAAAATCACTAGAAAGTAGCAAAAGTAATTAGAAATAGAAGTATTAAAAATATTTCCTCTCAAAAATGTATTGCTCTGTTGTAAGAAGTTGAATGACTTGTTCAATGGGTGAAAGATTTCCAGCTGGTACCTTTGTGTTGAACTTGAGAAGAATAAGGACTGCTGGGTGGGTTTGTTACCTGCTTCAGAAAAGAAAAGGGTAGACAGCCTTTCTGGTAATCCTCCTCTTTTGCATGGAAATTACAATATATAGAGATTGAAAATCCATTGAGAATACTTACAAATTTAATACCACTTCATTTTTTTTAATGAAATTGGTGTATTCTCAGCCTGTGTCATTTACTGTCAAAATTAATGGATTCCTCATAATTTATATCATCAGTGATGTTTATCTCCAGATAAATTTGTTTTCAAATCAGTTGTTTCCTTCATATCTTGTTGTGAGTGGGATTGGAGGCTTCACTATTGAGTTGTACCTCTAGAGCCAGAGGTGCTTAATTATGTGACTGCAAAACCTGGTAAATACCAAGCTCCATTGCATTACTGTGTATAGCTAAGGATGGTGACTCATAGATGGAAAACGTGTAGGGTACGATCATTGTCTTGCACATAATTGTGAAAATTACAGTGGTTTGTCTTATGTTAGATCATAAGCAATGCAAAGCAGCTGTCTCAGTTGTGATGTGCTATAGAGAGGCCACCACATCTCCAGCAGATATCCCTGGGACTCTGCCTGGGAATCGTAAGGAATTTTTCAGTTGCTCACAAGGCTGAACCTGATGATAATGGCTTCTCCAGTCATTCACCTGCAGGCTGTAATTTAGCAAAAAGCTACTTAAATCCGTATTTGTAGAGCGATGTGTATAAGGTAGCAGTGATTCTCTGAGTTCTGTGTGGGTTTTCTACTTCGTCTTTCAATAGAGAATCATTGCAGCAGAGCTATTGATCTGTCTTTAACCATTCTTCCTCCATGCGTTCAGGAAATGAGACCTTGGATGTCAGTGTTTGGAACTGACTGTCAAAGGCCCATGAAATTCTACATATCATTTCTTTTGTAAAGTATTTCCCTCTGTGGAAGTTATGAGACTTACAAGTTACTTTTGAATTAATGAGTCCCTCAAATTTGAGCAGAAGGTTCTGAAAGATGAAAACTATAAGAAGTAACAGCTGTTGGTGTAGTGCAAATGAGAAATTGAGATTTTTTTGAAAATTTTAAAACATATTTTTGTGACTTTGTTTATATTTTTTAACAAAGTAATAATTTTCCATAAAGAATATTTCTTTTCTTTGAAAAAAATATTTTTCTATGTTTTATTTAACTGTTATAGAATGAAATAATTTAAAAATTGAAAAAAAAAAAAAGATGTAAATCTATATTCTTGTTAATTTCAACAGGTTTTGGAAAAAAGCTGGTTTTTATCACTCATGTGAGCCCAAATGTTTTTTCTAACTCTACAAGTAGGAAGTATTTTTCCTCAATGTATGTTTTTAGTATAATGTGTATAAGGATTAATTATAATGACATAAATATGTCAGAGTTGGGAAGTTCTCAAAACAGCAAAAACTGTCTGTAGCATAAAAGTGCCTGCCTGTAGTTATATCAGCTTATTGCTATATGAAGTCTCTTCTTTGGTTCCTACATACATACATTTACCCAGGGTATGCTTGTTTATACTCACACACAGAGTCTCAGGCATGGCACTTGAGTTCTTAGGATGTGTAGGATGGCTAATTGCTGTGCATTTGAAGTACAGCTCTTTACTTAGCTACGATATGTTTTATTTTAAAGCTGTGGTATAGATCTGGAACCGTATCCATTTGGGTATAGTATTTTGGAACTCTACACAACATCAGAGAGGCAGGGCTTGTTAGGTACTATTTGGTTTTATTTATGGATATTTAAGAATAGTAGCCTAGTGTGCTTTGAATATGCCTAAATTGAACTGTTGTGATGCTGGTACCTACATAAAATATCTTTTCCTTTTAGGAAATGTACGTTGCTGCTCAATAATGTGTTTGCAGTGACAGCTGCGTTGTTGATGTCCCTCTCCTTGTTGGCAGGGTCATTTGAAATGCTCATACTGGGCCGCATTATAATGGGTGTTGATGCAGGTAAGCTTTTATAAGCTGTACATACCTGAAATGCTTGTGCCATGTATAATCTTTCTCCTGTCCCCCATTTAGATTTTTCTTTACATTAAAGAGGCATTTCAGGGACTGACTGCACTGATTTCACTGGGTCAAACAGCAGACTAAGGTTTGGAGGATCTGATGTTTGGAGAAGACACTGGAGTGGATGCTAGCTGCTGCTGTCCACCCTGGTGGTTGTTCCTCCTTTCCTCCTCCAGCCGCAGCCGGACGTATCTGTCTTTATGCTATGAAAATCCTTCGGCTGGGAGGGTGTAGTCTGTTGCTCCTTGCTACTTTGTGTTCAGAAGTTGTGGAGGCCATGCTAATACCGGTAGGGTTAAGTGGAAGATTTGGTACATCATCATTTGCTCCTAGCATCAATGGTCTTCCTGATTTAAAAAGTAGATCCTGGAGGCACTGCTGCGCCAGAATAGTTTTGCAGCTAGCAACGAGGTTCTCAGCCACTTCACAAATTGCTACATGGTGAGAAATATTTACCTAGTGTGGAGACAGACTTGATGAATTAAGATGGTTTTACAGTCTCAGTGTAATTACATGACTAGACAATGGAAAGCGCTTTGTCTTTTGCGTCACTAAGCCCACTTTCTGGCAAGCTTTGGCTGGGTTGTTAGTAAGCACAAACTATTGTTGTTTCAAAGTGGATGTGTCCGTCGCTTGCAACATGAAGTTCATGGGTAATTTTGGTGCTGGCTGCTAATTTTTGTCTCAGATTACCACCAAATGATCAAACTTCTGGAGCTATATAAATATTATCATTGACCAGGGTCATGCATTTGTTTTCTCTTGGCTTTAAGCATCATTCTCACCTTTACTTTATGCCTGCTATTAAGAGTTCATTGCAGCTGTAAGCCTTTATTGAGAGGGACATCTGCTAGTACCGTTCACAGTAAAAATATTTCATCTGACAGTGTCTGCTCTCTCTGCCTGATGCATTGGGGTTTTTCTCCTTACCTGCACCACTGCTAATGTGACTTTGCTTGCTTTGGGATGAGCAAATTTAAAACATAAAATCCATTCTGGTGATTCTCATCAAATAGCAGCCTACGCACATCACTGTAGATCTGTAACAGATAATCAATCCCATGGTTATTAAATCATGCAAGAGTAATTAGACATGCAGAGAAGATACATCATATTATCTGTCGATAGCTGTAATTCTGTTCTTTGCATGTTTTTATGCCAGTCTTGTGAGCGGTTAGCACTCAGACTCTTTTCAATAGACATTTGTTTCATATCTGGCATAATGAAAAGGCGATTTGACTTAATATATGGTTTTTTCCTTCCTTTGCAGGCATTTCTTTGAGTGCCCTTCCGATGTATTTGAGTGAAATATCTCCTAAGGAAATACGTGGTTCATTGGGTCAGGTCACAGCGATTTTCATCTGTATTGGTGTTTTCACTGGTCAGGTTTTGGGGCTGCCAGAAATATTTGGGCAGGTAAGTATTTAGCAGATCTTTCTATGAAAGAATACAAGCATATGTTGTATTTTAATATTTTGACTGAATTCCTTGCAAAAGTAGAAAACAGAAATTCTGTTGGGTTGAAGCACTTTGAAAAGCGGTTTCTTCCACGTCTTTTAAAAGCGCGTACGTGTGACCGAGTTTGGTAGAGGTGGCAAGCAGTTTGAACAGCTTGAGCGGTTTGTGCGTGTGCATAAGCAGGTTTTCCCATCCCAATGGCCTTTCTTGATGTACATTTATTTTTGCTGGTTTTGAGTTTCTTTGAGTACCATGGAAGTGCTTAAGAGTTTTTGCATATTTCATTTATAATTTTTCAATGTGAGATAGAACTGAAAAAGGCTTGGTTAGAGTTCATGTGAGGACCTGAATAGGAGAACTCTTGCTCAATGATTATAATGTTCCTTGTAATGCATTCCTAATTTTAGACTAGGAGGTGGAATAGCAGAGTATATATAAACTCTGTATATTATGTAAAGAGATTATCTATTCTGATATAAGAGGTTATGTTGCTGTCGTAGGCTGAGATTAACTTGTTGGCCACTGGATGTCGTCATTACTCTGAATAAATGAAGTCGAGGTTTATTCAGGCTGGCACTTGGAAATACTTTTAATCCAGAGACGAATCTTCAAAGCGGTGTGGAGGAAATGTCTGAAGCAATCCTCTCTCAATGAAACCTGGACTAAGAATCCCTTCTGACAGCCAGCAAAAGTAGTAAACAGTTGAAAAGTGAGCAGAGCTTGTCCTCCCATGTCCATCCAAATTCAGCTCCTTTGTAAACACATGATACCATCCTCTCTGACACTTTTATTTTTGCCTGACCGGTTCTCCTATTCTGTCCCTTTATCCTTGGGCTCCCTTATCCTGTTCAGCTCTCCTGAAGGCAAATGGTTTGATTCAACTTACCCTTTATTGAAGGACAGCTTACTCCCCCCTCGCCAAAGTGACAGATTTTAGGAAAAAGCTTAAAATGGCTTTCACTGACCATCATTGTGTGGGTTCTACATATGTCCCTTGTCTTGCTTTGAAAGCTAGTCTGTTACAGATGAGTGTATTAAATGCTAAGAGTCTGATCTGACTGCTTAGAATATATGTCAGCTCTTATGTAGTAGATTTTTTTTTGATTTTTTTTTTAACATGCATGCACTTTAGAAGGTGAGGTATCGTGAAAATTCTTATTTCCCTGTTAGGTCTCTGGGATATTTTGAATAGGAAATACTTATTCCTTGGTTTCAGCTCACTCTTGCTCTTTTTATTTCTCTTCTCACCTTCCCTCCTTTCCGTTCCCAAATTGTGGAGATTGCGATTCTGCTTCTACAACCTGCTTTATTATGCAGTTAATTAATATTACACCATTAAAGATAGCCATTAATTTATGTAAGAAGAAATATACTTTATCTGTAGAATTAGTTCTTTTCAAGTTGGGTGACATCAGCATGTAAAAGGAGCAAAGTTTTGGCTGGTGTAAATTAGCATATTTCCAGTAAAGTTATTGGAGCCGACTTGAATTTTCCAGTTGAGTATATGAGTGTATGTTCCTTTTAATATATTAACAAAATTTAGCACTGAGGGGAAACCTCAGGCTGTTTGAAGTATGATTCCCTAGTGCAGTCTTACCCTTCTTTGAAGGTTTTATCAAAATTTCTGTTGGTTTCAGTCAAGCCAGGGTTTTCTTCCCTAGCTTCGTGTGGTTCCCACTGAAGTCAGACGGAGTTTTGCACCAGGAAGAGCAGTCGTTGCCAGAGGCCTTTCCTGCAGAGGGCATGCGTGATGAGTTCACTTCTGCTGAAGCTGGGAGACAGCAAACATCAGCAAACTCCTGAGTTCTTTAGTCCTTGCAACACTTTCCCCTCTCCCCTCCCTGGCAAACATCTTGCTCAAATTTCTTTCACTTTGTTCATATTCAGAAGTAGGTCCAAGACTTTTACAGGCTCTTTTCTGGTTGTAGGCTTCTCTCTGATGTCATGACTTCTGTTCACTGGTGATGTAAAAGCTTCTTATGAAATCGTTCCCATATTATTTAATTTTTTTTCTCCCTTTTCTTCTGTTGGAGAAATCTTTGTTGTGTTTGAAGTGAAGCCAGTGTTACAGATCCACAGCCACCATATTTGCATTCGTGGTGTCTTATGGATTTCAGCTGTAACCGTAAAGCAAACTCTTGCTTTTCTCAGAAGCCTGAGGTCATTTGCATTATACTTAAGCCATTCTGCAATATGCCAATCTGTGGTATAATTCTACTTTTGTAAAATTCATGAATTGTTTAAAGAAAATAGATGGGAAAGTTGTGATCAGTAGGAGCTTGTTGCCAGCGATCACCGTTCTGACAGCTGCTTGCACTAGCACATGGAAAAGCCCCTTTGTTAAGTCTTTCTAACAATGTCCAGCTGCTTAATCATTGTGACATGAAACCTCATAGGAGTATTTTTTTGTTGCTCTGGTGGTTGGTTGCTTGTTTCTATCAGAATTGGTTGTAAATAATACTAGTTATAAATACTTGTGTTCTGTCATGGTTTCATAACAATTTTCTCCTGAGCTCTTTCATGTATCTGTTACTTGTAACTTAAGCAAATATCTAAGAGGTTATTAACCATAGTATCTAAGAAGTCACGGTTTTGAAGAAAGCGGGGGACAGAGTTGGGCATCTTGCTGGAAGAGACTGTTTGGAACAGGAATGGACATGTGGAGGGCTGCAGGCCTGGCCGAGGACCTGTCTTGTATGAGGAGATGACAGCAACATTGCTTGGGCAGATAGAGGGAAGGAAGAGGAACTGACCGCACCACGTTAACACAAGGAAGCAGCACTGCAGAAGGAATAGAGTGGCTTAATCTCAAGGACAATATTGCTATGAGAATAACTTTTTATAAGTGTTCTGTGAATAATTGCATGCTTAAAAATCGACAGAGTGATGTTTGGAACAGACTCACCGCTGGAATAGCCTGAGCAGAAAATTTAACTTTTAAATTGGAGCTTGATGCATTTATCTGGATTACATGAGGTTGTTGCCTTCAGTGGTTCTGTAGAAGCTTCTCCACAGAAAAGGAAAATGCTTACATAGACTGTGGGGCATAGCTTTACAAACCTTTATTAACAGTCTAATTGATAACTTCCTCCGTTATCAAATGCAACAGTGTTCCTTTAAACATGAAAGTGTGATAAAAATAGCTCCGAAGCACTGAGTATTACTTGAGGCATTTCAGAAAGCCCTTACTGCTTTTTGTGTCAAGTAGGTTAAGCAGCCCTAAAGTGATTTTTTAGCAATTGTTTATTTATGAAGACCAGCCCAGGTGAAGCTGGAGGCATGTGGGCAGCCCCAGGTTCGGTGCTGGGGGCAATGGTCAGCTTTGGCTGTGTCACCGTCTTAAGGCTGGTTGGCTGTTTCCAATTCCTATTTCAACTTATTCCTGTCAACTGTTATTTATCCCTTAATATCTTTCTCTCCTTTTTTTTTTTTCACCTCACCTGCTGCAATGTGCTTCCTTTCTCCTCCCTCTGTCACATGTGATCTTTGTGTTTCAGCTTAGACTTCATCACTTCTAGTGAAACAAGCTCTTTAATCTCTTTCTCATCCTAAGTGCCTTTCTCTGTAATAATTCTAGTTTTAAATTTGAACCCAGGATAACAAGATTATATAGATAACCCAGATGAAATGATACTTTTAAAAATAGAATTATATGAAATACTTCCTTATTTCCTGGTTTGCCTGGCAATGTTTTGGCTGAAATATTGCAGAAATTAATTTACTTCTTTTTTCTGTGTCATGCCATATTGACATGAACTTGCCGAACACTACTACATCAAGTTTTAAAATTGTAGTATAAAAGAGCAGATTAAAAAAAAAAATCTAATAATAATTGTAAAACTTAAATACAGGCATTCTTTTGGATTCTGAATATATAGGCTTTTATTCTATTTGTCTCCAAAGGTACAAATTTTAGAGTACTGAATCTGAAGGTGTTCCTTTAGTGTGCAATGCTTACCAAGCGTGATTATCTGAAGGAGGAAAGTTGCAATTGTGACAATGGTCCTCTGCTGCTGTGATTTGGTCTTCTTTCTTTCTTTCCTCTCTTTTTATTCCTTCCCATCCAACAAATCCCAGCAATGCTTTTTATTCAAGATTCTGATTCTAGTAGTTCACAACCTGATGGGTTCCCAGATGGGAAACCACATCTACAATGTCTCCGTTGAGGTTTGGGAAGGTACACAATGGTAAAGCTGGCTGGTGATCAGACTACAGAGCACAACAACTTTACGTGCTGGTGACCTGCTTCTGTCCTCCACCCTGGCTGCTGAGAGTAGTGTGCTCATTTTCATGTGCTAGCATCTTGTTTTAGTCTTCTGTAAGCCAGAGCCCTTAATTCTTCAGGAAGCCATGGCAACTGTAGATGACAACTCGGTGCTGGCCCACAGGAGTGCAGTCATGTTATCTGCCGTCTTGTGGGCATTGAGTTATTGCTACTGGCTACAAGATTATTTAATTTGGGACATTTTTGGTTGTATAATGTGCAGTTTTCCATATATCTGACTGAAGGAGAAAACAGATATTTAAGATAGGAGAAAGTGTTTCAGACCTGTCACTTCTTCAAACTCTGCCTTTCAGGTGTTTCCATTCTCTCCGTTTCTGTGATTGTGCAATTAAATCACACAGCCCATTTTTCTGACAGATTGCTCCCTGCAAAGCAAGGGCCAGTGCATTGTCAACTTCAGTTTTGAAAGTTCAAATTTGCAGTTACCGTCTCGGGGGAATATTGTCTGGCCTGATTCTGGCATATTCCATGTATCCTCAGGTATCTATCTGAAACTAGCTCATCTAGTTCTTCTGCATGTAAGCCTATGTATGTCCCACTCCAAAGGTTTCCTTAGGATTGTAACATCTTTTAAGTGGTGTAGACCACCAGGCTGTCTCTTCTATTGCTTCAGCTCATTTAGTGAAGGTAGGCTTTAGTCTTTCCTTAAGTGCTAGAGGATTTAGTTTATGAA